GGCGAAGTGGTTGTGCTCCTACTGTAATGACTTACAATGCTCTCATCCATGGGCTAATTAGAAAGCACCAGGTAATTCTCAAATACATATTAGATTCTTCACACTGAGAACCATGTAAGCTTTAGCCTCTTTTTTTTGTGTACCTGTGTATGTGTGCATGTTTGCAGGTTGAAAGAGCTGTTTCTGTACTTGACAAGATGTCTATTGCTGGCATTGCACCAAATGAGCATACATACACAATCATTATGAGAGGCTATGCTGCTAGTGGAGATATTGGGAAGGCTTTTGAGTATTTCACCAAAATCAAAGAGAGTGGCCTAAAGCTTGATGTGTACATTTATGAAACATTGTTGAGAGCCTGTTGCAAATCAGGAAGGATGCAAAGTGCCTTAGCAGTTACAAGAGAGATGAGCTTTCAGAAGATACCAAGGAATACATTTATATATAATATTTTGATTGATGGGTAGGTACTATATAAACATAGTTAATGCCAGTTAATGTTATTTTTATCTGTCCTATTGGGTTTAAATTTGTTTATTTATTCGCTGCTTACGTAACAAGAAGCTTTTGCAATTTGATCCTTTTAAAGATCTTTTTAGGAAAACCTCTGGGGAAACAATTTTAGAAAATGGACTCTTTTGCGTGTCCATGACATTGACACCATGGCAGCTGCCACATATGATATTCTTTTGTTGGACTTGCAGGCTCTTAAGTGGTACTACCTTAGTACCAAGTGTCACAGCACCATGCAAAACGTTCCATTTTCATAAATTATTACCTTATAGGCCCATTTGTGAAAATGTTATATGTAAGAACCAAAATTATTATTTTTTTACCTCAGTAATTCAGACACTTGCTTTCATTTTGATGTCAATTTATGGTTTATTTGAGCCATGTTATAATCTAAAATAGTTTATCAAATCCCTGATAAGAGTATTGCATAATCTAAAATACTGTGTCATTACTTTCTTTCATGTAGTTGGGCTCGCAGAGGAGATGTCTGGGAGGCAGCAGATTTGTTGAAACAAATGAAAGAGGATGGAATCCCTCCTAACATCCATACATTTACCTCCTACATAAATGCATGCTGCAAAGCAGGAGACATGCAGGTGTGTGCATTTTTCATCAAAATATTTGATTACTAGTTTGTGGTGGCACAGTTGGACATAGCCTGATAGTAATAGTACAGCGCCATGAGATAAACATTAGTGGAAATTTTTTAAGGTAGCCGAGCACAATGTTTATAATGTCCATTATTCACACAATGTACCTTTGTTGCACACTGGCTTCATCTTATTCTCATTGGAAAAATATGAATGGAGAAGTAATCCTGGCCTTTGTTGCACACTATCACTAATTTCTTGTTTGAACTATTTATTGTAGAGAGCGGAAAATGTGATTCAAGAAATGGCAGATGTTGGATTGAAACCGAATGTCAAGACGTTTACCACATTGATTAAAGGTTGGGCTAGAGTGTCACTGCCAGATAGAGCGTTGAAATGCTTTGAGGAGATGAAATTGGCTGGGCTTAAGCCTGATGATGCTGCTTATCATTGCTTGGTGACCTCACTTCTCTCAAGGGCAACTGTGATGGAGGGAAGCACCTACACGGGAATCTTAAGTGTCTGTAGGGAAATGTTCGAGAATGATTTGACTGTTGACATGCGCACTGCTGTTCACTGGTCAAAATGGCTTCACAAGATTGAGAGGACGGGTGGTGCGCTAACAGAAGCACTTCAGCGAATATTTCCACCTGATTGGAACTCATCAGAAAATTTGGAGGCTTCGAGTTCTGTAAGTGACAGAGATTCTGAATCTTGCAGTGACTCAGAGTTTAGTGATAATGATGAGGATCATGATGATGACTTGTGACATAATATCAAGACAGTTTTAACCTTTCCCTGATCCCTCACTACTGCTTCAGTGCCAGAGTTAAACTATCAAGGTATGCTGCGCACATGTGTTCTTAATATATCTCAACTTTGTTGACATCTTTTTAGAAGTATACTATGCCTATCATTAATGAGTTGACCGTAAGTTCTGTAACAATCTTTTTAGAAGTATAGTCTGCCTATAATGATCACCAATTGGCAGAGGGCTGCCAATTGGCAGTTTGAGTTCTCATAATTTGATTCCAAGCGACATCTAAAACAATTTTGTTCAAATCGACAGTGTTTCTGATGAAACTTTATGCCCTCAAATCACAGGCTACTTGCTTGTGGCCTGCCAAGAGGAGGGTTTGGAATCTTATTGTGTTTTTAAACCTGAGCTGTCTGTCCTCTGCGGTGTTTCAAGAGTCGCAGACCGGCAGTAACAGTTCTGCTGAAGCTGAAGACACAGGCTGTCAATGCAACAGACGAAGGTCCACTTATGTATGTTGCTGTACAGATCAGTGACTCGTAGTACAGGTAGGTAAATATTATCTATATTCTGAGATATTGACAAGTTCATTTCTCATCATTGCTCTATTTCTAGTGCAATCTAACTAATAAGTTAAATTCAGTTTTGTATAATTGGAGAAATGCTGGTGAAGTTATGCTTTTACTTCGTTTATTTCCCATGTGTACCAGGCAGGGCTTTTGTACAATGACTCGGTACAATATGTTACAAAAGGCAATTCTTGGCTTCCTTTGTATTGTTCTGTACCAAATGTACCTTCCGTGATAAGAAATTAAGGTCTCTGCATTCATTTCATATTACAACATTAGTTGGACCTACTGGAGTAGTAGAGTGTTTGTAGCCTTGTAATAGGTTGAATACCACCCCTGCAGCTCTGTCATCGGCATTTAGCGAGCATTCCCAGCACATGACTCGTAATTTCATTTAGCCAGGACAGTACTCCTACATTATAATCATATATTTTTAAGTATATAAAGAGCTTTGTAACCTCTTTTCTTCCTTTTGTGAGCTATGAACTAATGACCTGAATTGAATGCTGTAAAATATAGCTGATGATTTTAAACATGGTAAAACAGGAATACAAGCGTGAATTTAGACCAACTTGCTAGATAATGTGTGTGGATCTTTACCTTTGTTCTGATGATTTTACGCATGGTAAAATAGGAGTTTAGACTTTAGATTGGTCCCTTCTGCTTTATTGCAGTCCGTGCCGATTGTGGGGGAATTCCCTCTTTGAAACTGAAGTACAACTCCAATCAAGTCATACATGATGACTGTTTTCTCATTTAAGGTTTGGCATCTTCCAGTACAGCAGCTTCAATCAGTGTGAGCTTGGAATTGCTCGCCCCTGTCCAAGCTGAGAGCTTTTACTATCCGGGACACTTGAATGCCTGCCTGCACAAGACGGCATTATATTTCTTGAGGCTGGTGTGTGTTTGTGCGTTTGTGTGTGATATATGAGCTGCGAATCTTAGCTGTCCGGTATCTTTCGTTGAATCAAAAGTGGCCTCCCACCTTCGAGTCTTGCCACAAGATAAAACAGTGCTTCATTTATGCCCGTTATTATTTATGTTTGCTTAGCTGCATTGCCCTTCTGAATTTATACACACTGTAAATTCGTGATTGCAGCTGCAGTGTGATAGTACGCGACTTAGAATGTTCTTTCCATAAATATAAACCTTTATTGTATTATGTGTATATGTGTTTCCCTTTGTTCTTGTGGAAATTCAATTCGCGTTTTCCTTTCCTGGGGAGAAAATGCCATATGCATTTTCTTAGAAAGATTTTGCAGTGCGGTGGCTGGTTTGTGGCAATAACCTGCAGAGCACAGTGTTTGCTTGGAGTTGGATGCTGAAGTATAAAGGTGGAAAAGTTAGGTCCAGTGCTAAGTTCCTGGGTGCTCTGGGTGCTCTAACATGTTCGCTTGTCTTATAATCCGTACTTTTTTGGCTTGTCTTTTCAGCTGGAACAGTGTTTTTCTTTTACAACAAACCAGCCGGAATAGTGATTCAGCTTGTTCTTTCAGCGAAGCGAACGGGGCCAAAAGCCGTTGGCGGGAAGATGGAAAGGGGAAAGATGTTTGATCCTTATTTTTCTCTTACGATATATTGGCAATGTGAAGGGCGGGCCTGGTGCAAGCGGTTGAGTCTTACCACCTGTGACCGGAAGGTCTCGGGTTCGAGTCGCGGTCTCCTCGCATTGCACATGCGAGGGTAAGGCTTGTCACTAACACGCTTCCCCAGACCCCGTACAGAGCGGGAGCTCTTTGCACTGGGTACGTCCTTTAGTATATTGGCAATGTCATTTACTGTAAAATCAAAACTTTAAAATGTATATTGAATATGAATTTATTGCTGCAACTTTTCCATACTACACTATTAAGGATACATATGTTTGTACTTCGAATTATTGTTGTCAAGACGTAAAGTTCGATTTTTTTTATTGCTGCAACTTTTCCAACTACACTATGGATACATATGCTTGTACTTTGAATTATTGTTGTCAAGATGTAAAGTTCGATTTTTTTTCTTCCAAATCAGAACAGACCATGGATTGATGGATCGAAGGAGTGCGTTGCTAGGAGAATGCAAACCATGCACAGTTCAATTCAATTGAATACCGCTACAACTTCTGACGACTGGTCTATATGATGGTTGTTGGAAGGCATTTTGAAATAGATGGTAGCATGTGTTCACCAAGCAAGGAAAGGATACAAGCAAATGGAGCTCAAGAAGACAGGGCCCTTCCATTTATTGGGATACAAGCACGAGTTCTAGTGTGAACTCTCAATCTCTTTGATTTCTCCCTAAATCCCTGATCTCGCTTGGTTTATATGAAGGAATCCACCCCAATCTCAAGTGGGCTCTCCAACTAATCAAGCCATTCATCTTGGTGGACCCTCTCTTATGTATGTGGGAACTCCATGAGAGGTGAGCTTGAACTTGAAGAAACTCAAGGCTCCAAGTCACCTTGGGTAAGCCTATCTTAGCACGGGACTCGAAACATTCAGAGGTGCGGGTATATATATCGCGTTGGATCGGTATAGTAGTTTAGTTAGTTTATAAATGGCTGGGTATGTAACGCTTGGCTAGCTAGACGACCTAGACGTTCCCGGTGACGGGGCAGCCGGAGGCGCAGATCATGGCGTCGTTGGTGCACTTGAGGAGGCAGACGGGCAGCTCCACGGGGTCCAGGTCGATCAGCGGCTGGTAGCAGTCCAGCATGCAGGAGGTCACCCGGGACCCGCAGATGGTGACGCACTGCGTCAGCCCGGCCACAGAGGACCGCCGGTGGCCGCCGTCGTCGTTGGCGCCGTCGCGCCAGCTGTGGCCGCCGTGGCCGTGGTGGTGGTGGTGGTGGCCGTCATGGTCTGCGTTCACCGCCGCGACCACGAGCGCCAGCAGCAGAAGCACCGCCGCGACGACAGCCTTCATGATGCACGCACGTACCTTCTTCGGATCGGAGCTGTCGATCGACCTCTGATCGAAGAGTGAAGACGAAGGTGCAGATATTGTATCGAGAGATCGATGCTAGCTGCGTTGCATTGGGTTGGGATTTGCATCTGTATATATACAATCGACGCGAGGAGGACCTAGCTAGCCCAGCAGATCGAGTTGGCGTTGCCTGGGGGGAACGTGCACAGTGATGCATGCGAGCTGTGCATGAGATATGTGTGACGAGTGAAGTGGACGTCGTGCTCACTTGCCGCAAGCAGCAACATCTGTGTGAGCGGAACAGAAAGTAACAGGCCTGCTGCGAGCTCATCACACATGCACCTCTGATGACGTGTCCACTTCTTCGTTCCTGTTGCGTCCATCGATCGGGTTTAGACAGTGCATCACAGTCAGAAGTGACCTGACCTCGCAACCGGCGTCGCCGCCGTTCCCGTAGAACATGGAGTAGTGCAGCCTCGGCCTCGTCGTCCTCTATAGTTTTTAGTATGAAAATAATTTAAATATAAATTCAATGGGCCATGTTCGGGCCAAGAAATATTTCCTGAGTCCATCCATATTTCACTATGCTGTCCAAACCATGTCCATTAAGCGCTGCAGGCCGGACCGGGCCTTGGGCCTAAAATACTTAGGCCTTCTGCAGTGTGGTCAGAGAGTGATGCCCAAAAGAGGAGAGAGAGTGTTTGGGCATCACTCCCAACACTGCAACAAGTGGTGCTTGTTTTGATTGGGGCCAGAAAAGTTGGAAGCGGTGAATCTTCATTCACCCGGTGCCAAAACATAAACAATAATTGTTCACTGTAGCGCTGTCAGAAAGGGGAATTTTCCATCGCGCGAACGAAGAAGGCAACGAGAGTATTTTATTGGAACTGGGTCCCAACCGTAGCAGACGGCATCGCTCCCAAAAATTTTCCACACTACAGCTGAGTGGGCAGCGGTGCCTATTACTGTACAACGGGCCCATTTATTTTGGGGCACCGCTCCCACACTACAGACGGCCTTATGTCTACGGTCAACCACCACTTCCGCCACCGGTATACCCGGCTTTGACTGCAAAATGTATCCGTTGGCCCTCTTCCTCCTCCGGCCTCCGATCTCCGAGATTTGAAACCGCCTGACCCGCCGCCGCTTCACCCCCACCTTACCGCCATGCCCTCCTCCTCCGCCGCCGCCATGGCCAGGCCATCATCCCGTCCATCCTCCTCCTGCTCCGCCTCCAAGCCCCGGAAGCCCTCCCCGTCCCCTTCCCCATCCCCGGCGACGGCGCCCAAGCACAAGACCGTTGGTTCGAGCCGCCGCCGCAGCCCGCTATCCGATCTCAACTCCAGGGACGCCTCCGCCGCGCGGGAGCGCCCCGGGTGCTTCGGCTTCCTCCTCCCCTCCGCCGCCGCCTCCTCCGGGTCCAGGTCCAGGGCCAGGTCCGCGTCCACCCCGCGGACCCCTAAGCGCCCCGACTCCAAGCCCCGGCCCGGGACCAGGGGTCCGGACCGGCTCCCGGATAAGGAATCGAGGACCAGGGCGCAGAGATGCGCCGGGCAAGAGCCAAGGATGGGTGGGCAGGAGCCCATCGGTGCGCGGATCAACAAGATCGGGCTGGCCGCCGGCAAGAAGCAGTGGCCGGCGAAGGACGAGCAGCTGGATCAGTTCCACGCCTTGACGCCGGAGAAGAAAGCGGATTCCGAGGCCACGCCGTCTACCGGCGCGACGCCGCCGGTCCACGCGTCGATCTCGCCTGAGGTGGCCGCGGCGTGCGGGTCCGCGACGCCCGCGTGCTTCGCGGCGGGCCACCACGTCGTCCCCGGCGTCGGGGACCGCCGAAAGTGCCGGCCGCGGGGCATCCTGGCGATCACGGGGGAGGGGTTGACCAGCCAGGACCTTGACGAGGAGCCGTCCCGCGCGTCCATCCACTGGCTTTCCTCGCCGTCGGGGGCGGAGGCCTGGACGTCCTCGACGAAATGCGGCAACGAGGAGGCGTCGGTGAACTGGCTGGCGTCCCCGCGCGACGAAGGCGGGGTGGACTTGCTCGAAGACGAGATCTTCGTGCCCAGATGCTCCTCGGAGGACGCGTTCTGGCGGTTCTCCCCGGACTGCACGGGGCTGTTAGGCTCGCCGCTGCTCAGCGGTCTGCTGGACTTCGGCAGTCCGGCGTCGGAAATGTCCGGGGCGACGCCGTCGTCAGGTTTTCTCCCCGCGCAGAAGACGCCCAGCAGTGGCGATAGCATTAGTCCCTTCTCGCTCATTGTCAAGAGGGCATCGCGGTCCTCTTCCAGATTTCGGACTTTGTGTGCCCAGCAGGGACTGGGCAGCAGCTACCGGTATGATTCGGCGGCGGATCGGACACCAATTTCTGGCGAGTCAAGGCATGATAGTGTCAGCAATGGCACACGGTCAGGGTTTACAAGGACAGGCAGTCGTCCCCTGAAGATGATGGATCCAGTGCTGGAATGTCTTGAAATGATGAGTTTGTCACCAAGGCATGGGGACGATGACTATGAGGGAAATGGCACACCATCTGCGCCATTGCCTGAGCTTAGCTTCCAGTTTGCAGGAGCTCCGACGCCTCTGGAATCCATAGACTTGACCTCTTTTAAAAGGTCTCTTCGTGACATAGAATTGAAGGCAGAGACAAGTTTCCGAAAATCAGTCATGGCAGACACTCGGATCTCTTGGCGAGAGGGGCTTGTCAGCAGAATGTTTGATATCGGTGATTTGGATTGCTGCAAATGGCTATCTGATGATGAAGGTTCACCAGTGCTTTCGCTCACTGAAGAGGCTTTGGCAGATGGTACCAATTCTCAGCCAGGTAATGGTTGTTGCCTGCATGAGAGTGGCGACCAACAGGAAGCATGTGGCTTTGGCTCTGTTGAGTTCAGTTGTATTGGTGATGAACCGAACAATAATAGCATCAAGGCCTCTCCAAATCATGTTTCAGTTGCAGAGTCCATGAATACAGAAGGATTTGAGCTTGTCACATCGGATGACTCTGATTGGACTCTCTTCTACAAGAATTACTTGTTTGAATCATGAGATGTCTGAACTACAGTGGGTTTCTTTGTGCAGATGTTGTGTACCAATTGTACTACTAGAACCCTCGCAAACACGCACATTTGTGTTTGCTGCATCCTTGTACTTTTTTCAGTATTTGAAGTTTCCTTTTACATTCTTTGACAGCTCATGTAAATCATGTTGGTACATAGATTTGTTTCTGGAATAACCACTTGTGGTCCCTTTTAATCCACTGATAATAATTCAGAGAGTATATTGCATAGTTTTTTTAATTTTCAGTCAATAGACATTGTAAACTTTTTGCAACCAATCTGGGAATATATATCGAGCTCAAGAAATGGAAGATGATGGCATTGATCTGGTAATAATTGTGTTTGAAAGGCTGAAGGTACAGTGTGAAGGCATCTCATGACTAATTACCATGTGTTCCTAACAAAGAATTGCCAGTCTGATTAAAGTTTTTCTCACTTTGCAGGAGTGAGGCTTCAAACTATCAATAATATCTTATGGCTGCCTTATTAATCTGTATGTCAAGGTTAGTTCTGCTCTTGTGTATTCTTCTCTTGTATTGCAGCTGACTAGGGCTGTAAATGACCCAGCTTATTGCCTCAAGCAGTCAAGCTTGAGCTTGTTGGAGGGTCGAGCCGAGTCTACAACTAGGCTCAAGCTTTGCCATCTCTTCTATCTTTTTCCTTTTTGGGTCAAAGCCTCAAAGGCCTTGAAGTAGCTGATTTTTTATGTCATGCTTTCCAGTTTCTCTTTGTTTTTCATTATACTTGGCAATTTCAGTGGAAGGACGATCGATGAAATATGATACTTGAAGTGCAGCTCGGATTTAAACTTTGTGGAAATTAAATGGCATGACTAATCATTTGGAAAAATATTAGTCACTAATGTCAGTTTGGAATTTCTTTATACAGATTGGGAAGGTTCCCAAAGCCTTAAATATTAGCAAAGAAATGGAATCACATGGCTTCAAACATAATAACAAAACTTACTCTATGCTGACTAATGGGTTTATCCATTTTGCATGTCTTTGCAAATGCTTGTAGTATTTTTTTAGGACATGCTAAGATTAGGTTTTCTGGATGAAATTGAAAATGGAACATTCCGTTTATGGGAATTGTTTCCGTAAAAGAAATATCATTTATGACCATTTCTGACCCATTACCGTATTTACACTTTTGGTTTTCTAATTTCTTCCAACATCATATTGATGTCGTTACTAAACAGTTAAATTGAAAATATGGTGAGTTTGCGACCGACCGGGAATCATTTCTGTATAGAAAATATCGTTACTGACCACCAATTATTTTCATCCCTTTGCAGCCTGATAGTGCCATATAATTTTCTGGTAGAAGCAGTTTGTTAGATGGGAAATATGGATCGAGCTATTTGTATATTTGTAAAAATGCAGACGGAACGAATGCAACCATCAAATAGAAGGATTTGAAATTGCTGGAGATATGAAAAGGGCTCTCGATACCCTTGACCTGATGCGGAGAAGTGGCTGTGTTCCTACTGTAATAACTTACAATGCACTCATCCATGGGCTAGAAAGCACCAGGTATTTCTCGAATACATTGAAGGGCGGGCCTGGTGCAAGCGGTAGAGTCTTACCGCCTGTGACCGGAAGGTCCCGGGTTCGAGTCGCGGTCTCCTCGCATTGCACAGGCGAGGGTAAGGCTTGCCACTGACACCCTTCCCCAGACCCCGCACAGAGCGGGAGCTCTCTGCACTGGGTACACCCTTTATGTTAGATTCTTCACACTTAGACCACCATATACTTCTGGCATTAGCCTGTTCTTTTTTTTGTGTATGTGTGTTTGCAGGTTGAAAGAGCCATTTCTGTGCTTGATAAGATGTCTGTTGCTGCTGGCATTGCAGCAAATGAGCATACATACATAATCATTATGAGAGGTTATGCTGCTATTGGACCTCTGGGGAAACAATTTTGAACAGTGACCCTTTTGCAC